TCTGTTTAGAATTCATGCAAAAAAAAAAAATCATTCTTTTTATGTTTTTGTTGCCCATAAATATATTCCTATTAGAGTCTTTCTTATTTGATGCATGTTTAGACACTAAACATGAGTAAATATTTCAATTAGAATCTGAATTTGACGTTGTAAGGGACCAACTCATTACACTATAATTCAACCCCTATTGGTAATTTCAATTCTTTTCTATCAAAATAGCCGAGAGGGGCCTTGGTTTCCAAAAGCTCCAGGCAAGTGAATAAGGTCTCTACATATATTCTATCAGTCAAACAAAAGGGTGGGTAGATATTGAGAAACCAAAATCACGAATATATATATATATATATATAATTTATAAAAAATGCAGTATATATAATTTACGTATATATAATATAGAATGACTATAATTGTATTCAACCCTAGCATACCAAGGTCTAAATATTTACAAATTTCAACTATCAATTAAAATTACTAATTATTTAATTAACACTTTTTTTGACGACCTTGGAGCTAGCTCTCTTCAATCAATTATATATACGTACCTTCCAGTCAAACTTCTGTCTTTTACTTTTTAAACTATTGATTCATTAACTAAACTCTTGTAAATATCATTTTAGAATTCACGCTACTCTGAAGTAAAAATAATTAATCAAACTATATTTTCATATCATGTGAGGAGTTTTTAACCGATTAAAAATTAAGCTGCACTATGTATAATAACTATAAGCTGTATCTATGATTGGTCATTTGCATGAATCAAAAACTATATACAAATGATAAAGATATTTCTCTTTCCAGTTACCATGCAAGGCGTGTGCGCGATGCAAAAGAGAAATGAGATCATGAGATATGTGAGTCCAAAATATCGTCATCTATCTCACCTTTTTTTTTTCTTTTCCTTTTTCATAATTAAAGCTGAAAAGATTATTCCAAGAGACTGAGCAAACTTCTGCCAAGATTCGCTGGAGGAAGATAAAGACACAAAACATCAACGAAATGAGTGGAATTAATGGAGAAAACTATGCGCGTGAAAAGGGGTGGGTTTCTATCAAATTTAAATTTTTAAATTCAATTTAATGGTTCAAATCTATACTGATCTCTTCTATGTTCTTCCTGGAAGAGGAGAAAATCCAACTCCACGTGGAAATCAAACTCCCAGCCTCTCGGGGAATGTAAAATTGCAAGAGATGTGAAATTACAGAAAAGATAAAAGAGCCAACAGTAGCAAAGGACAGGATCAATTATCAAGAGAAACACGCTTAAACAATTTTAGATATCAAAGTTTTACGATGAAACTCGCTTCGTGGGACATGTTCTATCATAGTAAATATAGAAAATAAAATGTTGAAACAAAAGTAAACGATAGAAGATAGGGATTGATGTCCTAGGGTTTCCAAGCAGTCTCCACAGAGACAATGGTGCGTGCAGTTACTCAAATTCCTTGAAACTGCGATAACCTTTTTGTTGTTTTTCTCTGGTCACTAGCATCTAGGAGTTTTGGTCTTGCAAGCTCTTTTTCTTTCCTGGTACGAAGAATAGGTGCAGGTGTTGATTTGCAGTTACCAACTAACGCGCAAACATATATACATGGTGACAAAGTGATCACGAATACGCACGCGACTTTTTATTTGACCAGTCCCGGCCACAACTATACTTACTAAATTTCTGATTCTAAGTGCCTGCAATTACTGAGCAATTCAACTTAGACCGCCTGTCCTAGCTACCACGCGTTGTTTCTCAATTTTTTCCTGCAAGTTTCCTAAGCATATTCATCACTACGCACCAATATCTCCGAAGCCACAGAATTACTTGTGCTCGGGGACACACAAACACACACACACACACACACAAAATATACATACATACATACATATATATATGTTATCAAGATATCCCCCTCTGATTATATGTATATTCGGCCCAAACGAACCCTTAGTTAGGCTGTTCTTGTTTCAGAGCTGTACTGAGCGGTTGAAATAGCAAACAAATTATACATGATGATACGCAGCATAAAATCAATACACACAGAAAATAAAAGAGTAAACCTTCTATCGATATAATATTTTCGTTCCGCAGGGAATGTGAAGTTACGACGACACAGAGAGAGAGAGAGAGAGAGATGCCTCCTTCGCCTATAAATTTGCGGTCTCTTTCATTCTCATTACGAGGCGTCCAGAGGGTGGAGTTCCGTAATTTTCAATTTCAGCTTTAAAGTGTGAAAAGTCATAGTTAATCACCGAGTTCAAATCCACAGGATCAAGCATTATACAAGATTACGAACCAGATTATACGAGTAGGTGTGAATTTTACACTAGCAACCCCACACACACTCTTTCTTCAGCCACAATGATCAATCATCAATTATAAATGTAACAAATATTATAACAAAACAATATATGTTGTATAGGGTGAATTTGTGCTATATATAAAAAATTCAATAAACAAAGAATAAAAATGTCTTTAAATTAATATTAGAGAGAATGACAGTTAGATCCCGATAATTTTTTTAAATAAATTATAAATATTAATTTAAATAGTTAAAGATAGAAATTTCTATTGCAATTTAAAAGTATTTGATATTTAAATACTTATTTGCAATTAAATTTTTTAAATTTATAATTATTTAAATAGATATTTTCAATCTATTTTTCAAAAAAAATTGTTGGGGACTTCTCTGTTATCTATTCAATTTTAACTTAATTGTCATTCTCCCTTAATATTATCAATTTTAAATATCAATAGAAATTATAAAATCTATAATTATAATCATAATAAGGAAAACATCCTTACAAGTTGTGAACCTAATTATCAGGAGATTTCACGGTTGTTTTTTTTCCCCGGTTAAACAAAGAACACGTATCTTTTAAAAACTTCCAGTCTCCAAAATCTAACATTTTACCTACTTATTTATTTTTAACAAAAAAAGAAGTTTAAACTAGTTGGGTTTAGGAACTCATTAAAGAAATGACATGCTTCTAAGCTCAAAGACTGATTATAGAAGTATTTATAGACTGCCTTCTAATAATGTCCTCATATTAATAGTAAGATATGCTCTTACAATTATATGAAGTGTGAACCAAATTTTTAATAACTTGCGGATTAAAGTTTTCTGGTTACATTTTATTTGTTTATTGCAAGCAAAGGGATTCATTAGAGACAGATCAACGGTTCAAATAAACCCAAACGGCTAAACCTCAAAACTATAAGTCTTAAGTTTATGGGTTCTTTATCTTTGTTATATATTAGTTATTAAGCTAACTTTATCCTATATGGAATTTTTTACATCATTTTATGTCTACTTACACGTGGACAACATAATAAGTTCAATGAGTACTTATATTAAGTATAGTCATCGAATTCAAATCTTTTTACCAAATTGGAAATTAACAAGATTATCAGCTGATGAAAATTAAACAACAAATAAACCAAAACTGTGCTTCAGAAACATGCATGAGCAATGACCAAAATTCCAACTTTTTTACCAAATATACTATAAACACTAAAAGAAATTACCTAGATGCTACAACATTGGAAAGTATTCACTAAAATGCTACACCAAAAATCATTCAACTGGGGAAAAAGTTGTAGGTTGTGAACAAATCGTTCAAGCTAAAAACGATTTTACAATTAAAAATTATTTTTTTATTTAATGAAAAGTGAAATTGTTCACTAGATAAATGATTTCAACTTTTTTTATTAATGTAACATTTTATTCACTTTCTAGAATCTCTGCAATAGTATTAGAGATATACTCAAGGATGGATCTAACGTATTAGTAATGATGTTAGGTATGTGGTAATTTTTTCACCTTCTTCCATTTATACCATCTTTTTTTTCCTTTAAAAAAAGTGTTATAATCTAAATGTTATTGTTTATTTTAGGCTGACATAACAGACGAGTAATACAAGTTAGTGATTAATTCTTGTTCAGAATGTTCTTATCATATTGATTATCGAGATAGGGTTGCTCAAAACCAACACTGCATCTTACTTGCAATTAGAGAACAATGATTTAATAAGGACCCTCAGCCTACTCCACTAAGAGTTGAGTTGCATCATCCATAGATCCCTCGAGATAAACCAAGTGAGCAACATGGTGGCTACTTATCTATCAAACTACCAATTGAAATTGAAAAATGTAAGGGAATCATAGCCTTAAAATTTTAGTTAATTTCATTATATTTTAGCCTCATCATTATCATCAGCCCCTTTCATCTATTTCAATCCTACTTAATTTGAGTCTCATTACATGTCACCCTTGTCATCATTCGCTTTCAACTCATCCACTCCTACAACACTTCTACTTTTAAACATGGTAGACCATCAAATGATGCATATGCCACCTCTTGATAGTCTATTTCTTTAGTTGAGTCACCTTGATTTGATTTAAATATGTCGATCACACAAATAAATGAATCACTTAAATCTCAAGAAGAGAGGAACATATAACAACAACGGTTACAACATATGAGAACAAGATGTGATCTCAAAAGTTACTATTTGTGAGGTAAATTAATTTTCACTTTTGATTCATATAACTTAATCATTCATTATTAATTTTCATAAAACCTAATAATTATTTATTTATTCTTAATAATTTTTAATTTAATACACCTTATAATAATTCCTTTATCATATTAGTAACAATTATTTACTCATCATTTTCATTCAAATGATTTAAAAAAACTTAAACAAATGATTTGTCTAATAGTTGAAGAAGGTAAAAAACTTACCACATATCTAGCATTATTACTAATACGTTTGATCTATCTTCGAGTATATCTCTAATATCATTGTAGAGATTCTTGAAAGTGAAAAAAATGTCACATCAATAAAAAAAGCTAAAATTACTTCTCATTGAATAAAAAAATAATTTCTAACTCTAAAATCTAGTTGGCTTGAATGATTTGTTCATAACTTCAAACTAGTTCCTCAGTTGAGTGATTTTTTGTGTAGCATTTTAGTAAATACTTTTCATGTTACAACATATGGGTAATTTCTTTTAATGTCTGCACTATATTGGTAAAAAATCCCCGAAATTTCTAGTTTGAACCATATGTGACATGACAACTTATTTTAGAAGATACGTTGACGATATTCAATTGTTTGATTTTCCAGGGTTCCCACTGTCTAGTCATGCTTGCCAAGAAACCAGTCAACTTGCTCCCAATCCAACAAAGGCTCATCGTCCAAATCCATTTGACCGGCCGCTTCCCCACTGACCTGCGAAGCTTGGGCATGATCTCCAGACGATGAACTCTCCGGAGAGCTCGCCATACCTATCTTCCCCTTTGACGACGAGTCTTCCGGGTTTTGAAGCTGTTGATGGTGAGACGTTGAGCTTGAACCCCCATGATCATCCATCTCCCTCCTCGGAGGTGGCCTTCTATCAAACGCTCGCAGGCACTTTGATTTCTTGTATACCCTGCATAAACTGTATTCCTGCCTTAACTGCAAAATCAAAGCACCGTATCTGTACATTAGATAATTATTTTACAGCCACGTGTTGCAGCTCGCTTCCCAAGGCATCCATATTAAAAAACTGCGCTGGTCATACACAGCATCAACGACGCTAACTTTGAACCAATTCTAGGGCTTCCATCAAATGTATGCATAGGTGTCGTTTTCATCAGAGAAGCCGATCAATTGGATTTGAACTTGAAATATAGCGTTAAGAATGGTTGCGAATTAAGATTTGATAATTATGGCGAAATATCTTTATACATGAAAGAAATTTCACCGAATTAAGCTTCTGCGGGGGCGAAAGTCGAAAAACAGACGTACGTATAGCCAATTGTTATTTAAGTTTTTTTATATATATATATATATATATATATATAAATGGATATTGGAGTTGATTGCAGAAGAAATTGAGATTGATAATGGCACGTACCAAAGGACCAGCTGGGCGAGGTGAGGATGGCTCGCCTCCCATGGCCTTGTACTCGTTCATCTTCCAATCGGTTTTCCGGCCGTGGGGGGCTCTTCCGTTGTAGAAAACCATAGTTCTTTTCATGCCGATGATACGATTATCAGAGGAATAGACATGATTTGGGGACCCAGTGGCCTTCCAGTACCCTGTCGTCGTCAGTCGTCGGGGCCTTCCTCCGCGAGCTTCGCTTTCTTGTCTCGGAATGAAAAAGAACCACTGCTCCGTGTCTCTCAGGCTCGCCTCTCCCGAAACCTCTGAAACCAGTCCCATTACATAATATATAAGAAACAGATTAACGGTTTTCTATATACATATGCAGATCTGGAAAATATCATTTCGGATGCCATATATATATATGTATATATATGCAATAACGAAGCGCGGAGTATAATTTTAACATCAATATGTTTAATGTAACAAAAAACATTAACATGGTTAAAACTAACTAATGATTATAACATGACCAAGCTCTGATGATCAGAGTGTAATGTCCGAATGGCAGGTTACAATTTTATGCAAATTCAAACTAGAACAATCTCAGAATATTTCCAAAATCATTTATATATTCTGAGTCTTCTGATTAGAGAGAAGGACAAAGCAAGAGTGAAAGAGAGGGGAATGCAAGAATTTTACGTGGGAGATCCCAAGGATTGTAATCATAAATATCAAGCACGGGTATAACCCGGTTGATGTCCTCCCTCTGATCTCCTTGGAGCTTTCTATGAAGATAGAAGGAAATCAGCTCCTCTTCTGTCGGGTAGAACCGATATCCTGGTGGCATATTTTCCATTTCTCTCGATCTCTGATCTCTCGCAGTCAAGCTTGGTCCTTGTTTCGCCTTATCTATAATTTAAATTAGCACGCGTCTATGATTTCTGCGTTTGAAGCTGCGCAGCTTCAGTGCAAGACAGTTCTCGTGCACATGCTCGTTATTTATACATGAACGTCTCTGTCTCCACAGTCTGCAGACTAAGCTGTTTCGGCGAATGACTGAGGAAGTTAGGCGAGGCTGCAAAAGGCGTAACTTCATACGAGTGAAATTAGAAAATTTTGGCACCTCAGAATCCTTCTGGCTTGCTTGGAAGTTTCATTCCACGCGCTTATTCATTTCACTTTGTTTTTATTATTTTCATCAGTCCTGTCCGTACAGTCCTTTTTGAATATTCAATCTCTCCTGCCCCTCTTTGTCTCTGTTTTATCCGCACTTCTTCCTCCGCGCGTGTGCAACCACACAATTTTCCATTATTTATAACCTTTCCTTTAAAAATATAATATATTTTTAATTAAATTATACATTCAATAAATAATTAATTATTTTTAAATTAGTATTATTTTTATATTTATCTTTATTTAATAAAGTATCTTACTTAAAAATAAGGTTTGAGTCATTAAAAAATTAAAATATTTTATATCATTAAACATCTAATGTTAAAAAAATATTTTATATTTTTAACGAAGGGGTTTGTATATAATTTAAATATTATCAAGAAAAAATAGTATCATCTCTTTTAAAGGCATTTTATAAATTCACAAAACTTAATTCTATTACAAGTATGGTCAAATATTAAACATAAATAATATACAGAGAGATTTAAATTTTAATTTTTCTTGTTATAAGATACGAGCTCTTTCACTGGACCAAACCTCATTAGTTCAACCTAATACTTTACATTTACCCTTGCCATATTTTCATTAATGAAACGCTACAATTTTCTTTTGACTGCATCGATGGAAAATTTTTGACCTTGGCTTATTCTATGATGGACCCCGTACATGTTTATTCACGACTCTCATTCGTCCCCACGAGAAAAATTAAAAAAATAAAAATTAAAGATAAAGACATTTCATCAATTTTTAATACGTATAGATTTAAATACTAGGTTTTTATTTTGATTTATATTTAGTACAGATGTAGATGATCCAAAACATTGTCTGATATAAAATTTTTCAAGAATTCACGGTAGCCCTGCGCAACATCAATGTCATCAGAAACTTATAATAATGGGTTAAGAATACGAGTCCCTTACTTACTATATCTTATTATTGCGAAATTTTAAAACAGGTGGAAATTAAAACTTTATTATTATTATTTTTTAATCAGAGAACAAAATGCTTGGTGTAGTGTAGTTTTAAATTAATCCAACTGGGCGGTGATGAAGGTGATAGTCAACTGCGGGGGATTATCTGGTCAAGCTACATTGACGGACTTATTTTGAAAGTCACGCAAATGCTTCTGAATTGCAATTTAAAATAAACTATTTGATTAGGAACATCTCTCAAGGCATTCAATAGAAGATCCAAGTTTGTTTCTAATTACGTATATGTTCACGTTTGCTACGTCGGAAATTTAAGATCAAGTGTGAAAAAGTATCCTGGCGTGGTCTTAGCCAGCTTCTTCGTGGTTTAGAGGCATGTAATGGTTCGAAGTTTTTTAAGAAAAGAAAACGCGTAATAAATGCAAAAAATTTGAATTGTCAAAGTTCAACGGACCGCTGCATTTACCTGTTTCTTGACTAATTAATCATCTTACATGAGCTTATTAAGGTAAAGTTATATTATCTAATATAATATAATATAATGGGCGCCGACGTCCGAGGCTATAATTAATTATATCTCTTAGTTCGAATGTCATTGAAAAAAAAATAATAGCCTCAATTCTAACTTTTAATTTGCACCATCACTTACAAGAAGCTCGGATATGCGTGTGGGGTATAGAAAATTCTTTTGTCATGTCTTTATGCAATATTCTACATAAATTCTGCTTATTGTCGGTGTTCTTCTTTTGCTCATCGCGACATACATACACCTGATTAACACCGACCCCTACGCCCAGCTATTACAGGAACAAGAACAATTCCAGTGTATTAATTTCACAAATAACAATTTTGAGGCCAACCTTGTAAATTGTCAAATAGGGGACCGTTTACTGTAAAACATATATACATGTGTGAACTTCAATGTTGAATATATTTAATTTGTGGGAACGTATGCCTTGTCAATTGACTGCTATAGTGATTTGACCCCGCACCGTGAATCACTCTGCTCCCTCTAGCTGTAGGACAATAAAATGAAAGGTATTTTTTGAAAGCTCCATATGTGCAACTTGCAACCTGTTTTTATTTGAATTCCTCTTTTTGTGTTCCTGATCAATTTGAATCGACGTCGCAGGTTTAAGAAGATGAATGAAAAGGAAAAGCAGGAATAATTTTGATTTCAACGATAAGGAGGAAGAAGAAAAAAACAAACAGATTTAGAGTTGACGACGAGGCCAGGCCTATTCATTGGTTGATCCGAGACGAACAAATCAGATGAGGCAACTATTGAGAGATTTACGCCACTGAATTTAGGGATAAGCATCGATCAGCTTGGTTCCAGTTTTTCCAAAACCAATTAATCAAATTATACAAAAAAATATAGATTGTATCTAACCGAAACCCTTGATGAAATTAAATTCAAACCAACATAAATTATAATAATTCAGTTTGATCGGTCCATTTGATTAACGGGGAATTTGATTTGGATCTGTAAAATCTAATTTTGTGTTATATATATATATATATTCATGTTTTCCCCTAACGTTAAAGGCCCAAAAAAAAAATATCAATCTTATCTCATAATTTATGAAAAAACTAATAAAACCCAGTACTTCTGTACATAAAAAACTAAATTATAGGAATAAAGAACAAAACAACACATTAAACAAAAAATACTACCACTGCAAGTAAAAGAGTAGAAAATGAGACACAGAAAAGCAAACATGGAGAAAATGGATGAAAAGATGTTTCTCATTCACCCTAACGAGAGCCCATTCTTTTATATGTATATATATATAAAGATCAAATTTTATTAAAAATAAAATGAGTACATGTAATAAAAGTCATAACTAATGAGAGCCTATTTACTTTTTTAAAAACTATAAATATAATATATATATATATATATATATAATAATTTGGTTAGTTCAGTATATTTGGTTCATTTTTTTAGACTAAACCAAATCAATCAATCAAGTTTTTTATTAAAATAAAATTGAATGGAATAGACCTAATTAAATAAACTGAATTAATTTAATTCAATTCAATATTTGGTTCTGATTTGGTTTTGCTTATCCCTAAGTGAATTCATTTCATCATCTCTCTGATTTCTTGATGATCTCTTCCTCCCTTTTTAATACCTGTTTCATTTAGCAGTAAATGCATGTATAGTCTCATTTAAGCCTATATAAGTGATTATGAAGCTCATCATTTGCGTCGTTTGGATAAGTTTTTTAAAAATCCCAATCAATCATGACCTGGATTCTTTGCTGCACATTGAGTAAAAACTACCAAGAGGTGCTTCTGTGTTCCCAAAATTACGATTGAGATTTTATTAAATTATATTTAATAACAATAATTATAAAAAATTAAACAACTTTATAAAAATTATACCATTTAAAGGTAATTATATATCCAAACGTAATTTTGATGAATACAATCCAAATAAAATTAACTTTCTCATAATTGCTTGTAGAAAAAAGTATCCAAACAAAAATCATAATTTATCAACATCACTTTTAATTAATGTCATTATTAAAAATATTCATTGCGCGAGTCCAAAATTCCACCAAATAATCAAAATTACACTTTTAACTGAATCACATTCGCAATAAGTTAGTTAATTATTTTTAAAATTATATATTTTTTTCATGTAATTTTTTTAAAAATTATACATTCTTTTATATTTACCTGTTTTAATATGATGTCTTAATTAAATAAACTTATTAATTGCACCTACCTTTTAATTAAAAGTATTTTTAAAAAAACTTCATTAATTGTACTCTAAAAGACTCAAAATATTATATATTTTTTAATATCTCATCTCAAGAAATTGTCTTATGCTTTCCAACATGGGGGATAAGTTTTGAACGATGTTGAGAAGCCTTGCTAGCTTGATATGACCTATGGCCACGAGCAATTTGCTTGAACTCTAGTCACATTCCACCCAAAAATTACTGCATAATTCAGTTAGCAAACTACCAATACAAATGGTTTTTAAAAGAAAGTGAAAGAGCACATCAAGAAGGGCGTACCCCCAATCAATAATATATACTTTACAGCCTCTTCCTATTGCTCTCTCATTCTTATTTTTCAATATTATAATTCTCGAGAAAACTATGTCCAGAAGAACAACAGATCGATGAGGCCTCAATGATGATGAAGTGAATGACGCAAAATTTGGAGAATAAGCTTCTTTGCTGGCATGCTTATTGTCAAGTTCAAACCACGGACTCGACGATACATAGCTATCACTTCATTCAGACCAAGAAAACACTGCCTTTTCTGTATCATCGTTTTTAAAACAGTAGATTATGTATTCAAGTAATTAGCACATGCCTAAAAGCATCTCTCTTGTTCGGTCAAGTGTTGGACAATTCTTGGCATGCATGCATGCATTTGCTTTAAATGTCAAATCAAATTAACGCCTGGCAAGAGGAAGGGAATTCTGAGAGAGAGAACTTTTAAAAATAATATATAAGTTTTTCTCTTCCAAAATTAGTAAAAAAAAAATTATTATCGTTGGGAGTTTTCCTTCATGGTATTTTTCCTCTATATTTTTCTTCTCATCTAAAACAAGGGTATATAACTGACAAACCCGGCGTCTTTTTTTTTTTTTTTAATTCCCTTTTACCTTCCAACATGACATAAATAGAATTCTCAAAGGGAAAAAAAGGAATTGAGAAATAACATGTATCCTAATAAAGATACCATTACTTAATACACTAGCCACATGCTAGCCCCATGGAGAGGTCTG